TTGTGGAACACTTCCACCAGATATTCATCATCTATTTCCCCCACGGGAACCCACGTGTTTTCTGACTCGGGTTCCCCCTTGGCCCTTTGGCAGCGGTCACACCCCCGTACATACTCTCGTACATATTCCCTCACCCTTGGCCACCAAAACTCCCTAGTGACCAGTAACATAGTTTTGTGTTGCCCAAAGTGCCCCGCTGTTGGGCTGTCGTGAAGCTGTTTGAGCACCCTTTCCCGCAAAGCCTCCCCGGGCACATACATTGCTCCCTTGTAATATAGCAGTCCTTCCCTTTCCTCAAAGCCTCCCCGGTCTCCCCCAGTTTCCCTGAGTTCCCTGATTCGAGTTTGGGCGAATTTGTCCTGGCGAATCAGCTCGGTTAGTTCTCGTTTCTCAACTAACGCTCCCCCACAAACCCATCGTTCCTCTGGGAACACGTGTCGAGCTTCCAGTGGCCCTTCTCCTTCCGTGTACTCCGGCTTCCGGGAAAGCGCGTCTGCCCTCACATTCTCTTCTCCCGGCACGTACTTGATCTCAAAGAAGAACTTGGAGAACTCTTGCGCCCATCAAATCTGTCTCTGGTTGAGGACTCGAGCTGTTCTCCAATATTCCAAGTTCTTGTGATCAGTGCAAACCTGAATCTTGTGCTGCGCCCCTATTAGGAGATGTCTCCACTGCCGAAATGCTGCATAAATAGCTAACAGTTCGCGATCATACACCGTGTATTTCTGTTCCGATTTGTTCAGTTTCCATGAGAAGAAGGCGCACGGCCTCCAGGTGTGTTGGCTCCGTCCTGGCTGCAGCAACACCGCTCCTATCGCTCTGTCTGATGCGTCGGTCTCCAGCCTCATCGGCTTCTGCAGATCCACGTGCAGGAGCTGTTCCTCCGAGGCAAACACCTTCTTTAGCCTTTCGAAGGATTCTTGGTCACTTTCCGTCCAGACGAACTTCTTCTTGCTACTGAGGCAATCCGTGATGGGTGCGGTCAAGTCGGCGAAGTTCCTGATGAACTTCCGGTAGAAGTTGCTGAACCCGAGGAACCTCTGCACATCCTTCTGGGTTTTGGGTGCCTTCCATTCCAGCACCGCCTGCACCTTGCCGGGGTCCATGGCTAGGCCTCTGTCCGACAACCTGTATCCCAGAAATTCCACTTCTCTGGCGTGAAACTGGCACTTTTCCAGCTTGACCGACAACTGGTGCTCTTGTAGTCGCTTCAGCACTTCCCTGACATCCTGGACATGCTGTTTTTCATTGTCTGAATAGATCAGGACGTCGTCCAGAAATGCTACGCAGTTTTTGTTCAGCAGGGGACCCAGCACATGGTGCATGAAGCTTTGAAAACAGGCCGAGCCCGACTGTAATCCAAATGGCATGACTAAGTACTCAAAGGCCCCTAGGGGGGTGAACATGGTGGTTTTCCATTCGTCCCCCTCCCTCATTCTAATCAGATTGTATGCTCCCCTGAGGTCCAGCTTGGTAAAGATCTTACCCTTCCTTACCCTGGTTAGAATATCATCAATTCTGGGCATTGGGAAGGTCACGGGTTCCGATACGAGGTTCAATTTTCTAAAGTCTACGACCAGCCTCCTCTGGTCCGTGTTTTTCTTTTGCACAAAAAACACAGGGCTGCCCCCCACTGCCTTCGATTCCCTTATAAAACCCCTCTTTAGGTTTTTGTCAATAAAGTCTCGCAACTCCTGCATCTCTCGGTCCCACATGGCATACAGCTTACCCACTGGCAGCTGCGCCCCCGGGAGTAGGTTGATTTGGCAGTCGAAGGGCCTATGTGGAGGCAGCCTGTCCGCTTCCTTCTCACTGAAGACCTCCTGTAAGTCCGTGTACTGTGGCAGCACCTCTGCTCTCTGCTTCAGTGTAGTTGCTGCTACTCTGGCCAACCTCACCCTGGGCTTCTCCCCCCCTAGACAGTGTTCCAAACAGTGTGCTGACCCGAAGGTGACTGTCCGTTGATGCCAAGCCACCACTGGATCATGTAGCACTAGCCAGCTCATGCCCAGTATTATCGGTGGTCCCGCCAGTGTGGCCACATGAAAGGCAATGGTTTCAGTGTGCCTGGACACCCGCATTCTCATTGGTGGGGTTTGATGTGTCACCTCCCCCCAGCAGCTCCCTGCCATCTATCGTAGTCACTTGGAGTGGGAAATCAAGTGGCACCAGGTGTAGTTGGTGCTCCAGTGCAAACTCCTTACTAAAAAAATTACAGGAGCTGCCTGAGTCCAGCATTGCCTTCACCTTGACTGGGTGTCCATTTGGGAGTTCTAGCACCACCTCTATCGCTATAGAAGCCTTGGGTGGGTCTGGTTGGGGCACTTCCGTTAGTTGCTCGCTTGGCTGCTGCGCCCCCCTATGGGCAGTCAAGCGCTGGCGTTTCCCTGCACCTTTTCCTCTGCCCCCTCCTCCTCGCTTCCAGCGGCTCCCACCATCCCTTGCCAAGCCTTCCTTTGTGGACAGACCCTAGCAAAGTGTCCTGGCCATTGGCAGAGGAAACACTTCTTGGTGCTTTTCCCAGCCTTTCCCTCCCTCTTGACTCCTTGGTTGGCGCTCGAAACCTCGCGCGCCCGTGCTCCATCAATTTCCATCGGTACCACGTCATCGGGAGGCTGCTTTGGCATCTCAGGAATGCGGTAGTCAGGGTGGCGCTCTCCTCTCCCTTCCCGCCTTTCCAAAGCGCGCGCTTCCTGCCGAGCACCTATCGCAAGCACAGCTTTAGTCAGTTCATCCATAGACTGCGGGCGGGGCGCGCGGGAGAGCTCGTCTTTAACGGTTGGGGACAACCCCTCCTCAAACAGCATCCGTATGGGCGGGCTATCCAGATCCCATTCGAGCCGGTGTATTAGCATCGCAAAGCAGGACCAGTAGTCTCTAACGGAAAGATCCCCCTGCTTGCATCTCATCAGCTCCCTCTGGGTTACACTCTCCCCCAATTGGCTTGCATACATTGCGTCCATAGCCTGAAAAAACTTCTGGACATCCCTCATGGCGGGGTTCTGCACGGCCATAAGGGGTCGAACCCATTCCCTCGCGCTGCCCTCAAGGTGCCCCACAATATACGCAGGGACGCGGACTTATAAAAAATATTGGGGGGGCCCGGGAAAGCTCATGAATAATAAATAAGCTCATGAATATGCAAATAAAGTGGCTCCGGCCCTAAATAGGGCAAGCCACGCCCCCCCAGCCAGCCGATTGGCTGGCTGGGAGGTGTGGCCAGTCGGGATTCCCCTGTTCTCGCGGGGGCTGAAACCGCCAGGAGGAAGGAAATTCCCCCCGGCAGTGCCTTGGCAGTGGCGGTGGTGCTGTGAAGCAGCGAGGCAGGAGCCCCCGCCCCCGGCGCCCGAGATTATTGGGGGGGCTGAGCCCCCCCCAAAAATTTTTTTGAGGGGGCTCGAGCCCCCTCAAGCCCCATGGAGTCGGCGCCTATGAATATACGCCACCCTCGCTGCCTCGTCAGCAAAGTCATCATGCTGCAGCTCCAAAGCGTACTCAATTTCTGTTCGGAATCCATTATATTCCTGGGGCCCTCCCCCCAAATTTGTGTACCAGTCCGGGCACCTTCTTTCCCACTGGGGTGGGTCTAACCTGCGCGTCCTGGGTGTGCCTCTCATCCAGCCGCGCCGTCAGCAGGGCTACATGCCGTTCCAGCTCCTGGTTCCTCTTCACCAGGTCCTGCACCCCCACAGCTTGCTCCGCTGCCCCGGTGCCTCCAGTCTGGCTCACGTTTCTCCTGCTTGCGCACAAGTAACGTCAAGGACTGACGAATTGCTGTAATGGTTGTGAGGGGTTACTTGTGCGTAAATGGCCTTAGATGTAGTTAGCTTGCTTGCCCAACCATGCTTAGGGTCAGAGCTCGCCCTCCGTGACCTGTTAGTCACTTGCAGAATCCGTCAGTGGGTGTTTCTTGAACCTCTTCCAGCATAAAAGCTGTTTGACCCCGAGTCTCCTCCTATGTTCCCTGTGCGGAACGCGTCTGCGCAAGTAAGGGAAAGGCAAGGGCGTGCCAGCGCTCTCTCCACTAGTTTCGGGTGAAGGGTCTTGGAGCCCTGTCTCCAATTCCTCCATCTCCCTCTCTTCTCTATTGGTGTTACCCTGAATTCCTTCCCCCCTGCTGGTCCCCTCTCCGGCATCGCTTGGGAGCCCTGCCTCCGCTTCTCGCTCTGATGTCAGTTCCCTGACAGGTAGGAACTCACCTGTGTTATTTGGGAGTTATTTTCTATGCATTTCCTAAACTCTGCCTTCTGGGCTAGAGTGGGATGTTTGCTCAGTGTTTCAAGACATTGTATTATGTTGTCAGAATTTTTAAAAAGAAAAAGAAATAAGATTAATATCACTTCTTTAAACTGAATAATCTATTAAACCCAGGAACCACAAGTGAAGTGGCTGGGGTAGTATTTTTAAGGTCATTTTTATTTGAATATTTCCACAATTTGGATTTCCACCATTTTGCTTTTGCTTCAGTATATCAATACTGAAAAGCCTAATGAAAAGATTTATGGGAAAATTAAACGGAACAGGAGAAATGAAACATTTACATTCCAAATAAATGCACAATGGTGAAAACAGGTCATTTATTGGGACAGAGTGATTTTTCAGCTGTTGTTAAAAGTTGCAAAACAACGAAGCACGGGATGGAGCGATGGAGAAATTTCAGAAACAACAATCTGATATGATGGATAACAGCAACAACCAGGGAAAGAAAGACATAACATATTATGAGGACAGGAAGAAACACCAGGGACAGAATAATTGCCACACACAGCAAGAACAAGGATATAGTTTGAGTTCCTCACTTGTAGTTTTATAAATCATTTAATGTATCAACACAAATAGAAGTTATTGTCATGGAATTCTACTCAGTATTGCTCCACAGCAGAACTCCAGTGTATAATTAGCAGAGTAAAAACTTAAACATGTTGCAGGATTCCCCCCAAAACAGACCAGAAACAGTGAATATTTCATCCAGCAGAGCTTTAGTGCTACTGAAGGCAAATGAGCGAAATGGTCACAAATCCAATACATTCAGGATTGGCACAGTCCATATGAAATCCAGTTGCAGCAGACTTAACTTAAACTTACAATAACTTAAGCCTTATCTCCAGCAAGACGTAAGCCAACTCCACCAAGACATGTCCTTATTGAATTGTTCTTCGGTGTACAGTGGTGTTCTGCCATTGAGTGCCACCAAGACATCAATCATCTCAATGAGCTTCTTCACCTGACTCTCCTTTTCTTCTTCATCAGCCACATTGTTAAAAGCAATCATTCGTCTTTCGGACATCTCAATCAGATCCTTAAGGTGCCCATCAGCACCTTTTAAGAACTTCTCTAGAGTTGAACCATTCCTATCTAACTCATCTTTATAGGTGAATAAAAGAATCAGATACTTCTTTCCTTCATTCTTGAAGAGGCTTTTCACTTCCTGGAATGTTTCCTGGTGCCCCTTCGTGATCTTTCCTGCTTTTATCACGACGAGGATGGCGTGAGCTCCAGGAGAGACCATGTCAATGCACTCCTTAAGTTCTTTTCGTGTGAAGCGTTTCTTAATTTTTGTATCAAAGAACCCAGGTGTGTCAACAACAACAATTGTCCTGCCACCTACAGTGGCTTCTCTTCCTTCGCAGGTCTTGGTTGTTGAATCAAGATTGGATGTGCTTTTAAATTTCTCAGCCCCCAGGATGGTGTTTCCTGTTGCGCTCTTCCCAGATCCGGTTTTGCCAATGAGCAGAATTCTCAATTCTTCGTCTGTTCTGGCTAAATAAGAGATAAAAAATACCATGTCAGCAAAGTTCCTGAGACTAGCAAAAAAGAAAAAATGGGCTTACAAATGTTTCGTAGGCATGCTACTTATTAGTTAGCTAATTTTTTCTACAAGAAAGGAGATTCTGGCAAAACGTCAAGAAGAACGTTCTGATGCCAAGAGCTGCTCAACAGTGATATGGACGCCCTTGGAATGTTAAGTCCTGGGCCATCAAAAGTCAAGAGGTTGCCAAGTTCCAAATCTAACATGCCAAATTCTTTCTGCAGGTAAATATCAGAGCACTCCCACTACTCTCTTGAGTAGTCCCCCCCCAAAAGGGATTTAAAAGAATTTTATACCAGGTTTTGTTTTGTGTGTATATGCCTATGCATTTAGGAACAGCATTTGGTGACAGATTTTCACATGGGGAAAAAAAATCCCCTTTCAACAGGATATGTGAACCTCTAAGAAGACTCAACCCCATTAACAAAGTGTTTGTCCCTTCTTTTCTCCCACAGCACAAATAAATAATAATAATAATAATAATAATAATAATAATAATAATAATAATAATAATTTTTATTTATACCCCACCCTCCCCAGTCAAGGCCGGGCTCAGAGCGGCTTACAAGCAATAATAAAAACAAGTTGAATGATTACAATTTAAAAACAAAATTAAAATACAACATTAAAATATTGAAACATTAAAATATTAAAATGTAGCCTCATCGCAGAAGGAGAAGGAAAAGAAAAAAGAAAGAGAGGGAGGGAATCAAATTGGCTCCAAGCCAAAGGCCAGGCGGAACAACTCTGTCTTACAGGCCCTGCGGAAAGAAATCAGATCCTGCAGGGCCCTGGTCTCATGAGGCAGAGCGTTCCACCAGACCGGAGCCAGAGTTGAAAAGGCCCTGACTCTGGTTGAAGCCAATCTAACTTCCTTAGGGCCCAGGACCACTAGGGTGTTGCTATTTATGGACCTTGAGGCTCTCCGTGGGGCATACCGGGAGAGGCGGTCCCGTAGGTACAAGGGTCCTAGGCCGTGAAGGGCTTTAAAGGTCAAAAGCAGCACCTTAAATCTGACCCTGTACTCCACCGGGAGCCAGTGCAGCTTGAAAAGCACTGGGTGAATATGCTCCCATGGCAGAGACCCCGTGAGGAGCCTCGCTGCAGCATTCTGCACCCGCTGGAGTTTCTGGGACAGCTTCAAGGGCAGCCCCACGTAGAGCGAATTACAGTAGTCAAGCCTGGAGGTGACCGTCGCATGGATTGTTAGTATCTCAGCTCACAGTCAGAGGTAACTGGCCTCCCCCGAGGCAAACTGAGTGAGATACTTGTTTACCTTCCGTCTGCGTCTCCCGGCAGACTAGGTCGTAAATCGGCGATTCTCCTCATTAGACTTGAGAAGAACACACCCTCTGCTTCTCTCTTCCACCTTTCCCCCCAGGGAGGGGAAATGAGGCAGACAGGAGTCTATTTACATGTCTTTTTATTCCTGTCATTCAGCAGTACATAGAAACGTGACTGCACCCTTCAGACTCCATCAGTAGAGTCACAACTCCGCCCCTGCACTTCCAGTACAGGTCAGATGACACTCTGAGCTAACATCCGGTGCTCAGTACAGAGAATAGGCTCCCCCTTTTCCCCAACAGTACATTGGCAGACAACAACATCCTGTTTTGCTTTCCAGCCACCTGCAGCTGGCTTTTGCATTGCTGCTTTTATCCAACATGGATCACTGTGGCCAGGTCGGGGCGGGAAAGGTAAGGGACCAACTCCTTGATGCAGCGAAGGTGGAAAAATGTCGCCTTGGCTGTTGCTATAACCTGCGCCTCCATGGAAAGGGAGGCGTCAAGGATTACACCCAAACGCTAAATGGAAGGCAATGGCACTATTTGGGCCCCCGCAAGAGAAGGGAGTTGGTCCCTCATCCCCATGCCATCCCGACCCAGCCATAGGACCTCTGTCTTCGAAGGATTTAGTTTCAATCGGCTCCCACGAAACCATCCAGCCACAGCTTCCAAGCATCTGGTCAGTGTGTTCGGGGCCGAGTCGGTGTGGCCATCCATCAGCAGATAGAGCTGAGTGTCATCAGCATATTGGTGACAGCCCAGCCCAAAGCTCCGGATAATCTGGGCAAGGGGGCGCATACAGATGTTTAAAAGCATTGGGGAGAGGATTGCGCCCTGCGGCACTCCACACACCAAGGAGTGGCGTGACGACATTTCCCTCCCTAGTGCCACCCTCTGCCCCCGACCAGAGATAAAAGAGCACAGCCAGTTACAGGTTATGCCCTGTATCCCCACGTCTGTGAGGCGGTGGTCCAGAAGATCATGATCGACCATGTCAAAGGCTTCTGACAAATCTAAAAGGATCACCAGTCCTGACCCGCCTCAATCCAGTTGTCTACGGAGATCATCTGTTAGGGCAACCAGAGCCGTCTCGGTCCCAAAATCAGGACGGAAACCGGACTGAAATGGATCTAAAGCCAATGTTTCCTCCAGAAACCTACCAAGCTGTTCAGCAATTGCTCTCTCAATTACCTTGAGATATGGAAGATTTGAAACTGGGCGGTAATTGGATAGGTCTAAGGGATCTAATGAAGTTTTCTTTAAGAGTGGACACACCACTGCTTCCTTCAGTTCCCTTGGGAATGTCCCCGTGTTAAGGGACAAAGACGCAATATCTGGACACTCCCTAATCAGCCAAGACAGGCACGGATCAAGGAGGCAGGTGATGGGCCTACCAACTTGGAGGAATCTATCCACATCAGCAGGGAGTATCCGATTGAAATGGTCCAACACTGGACCTGAAGTCTGACGAGGGGACTCCAGTTCATTCACTGTATCTAAATTGGCAGGGAGGTCACGGCGGAGCAACAGGACTTTCTCCGCAAAAAAGCTCGTGAATGCCTCACAGCTGTGGGTCGAATTTGTGCTTAAATTTGGTTGTCCTCCTAAGGACGTTATTGACCTAATTATTCTAAAAAGTCGTGCCGGGCGAGAGCTAGCGGATGCAATGGAAGCTGCAAAGTAAGATTTCTTAGCAGCTTTCATAGCCATCTCATAGGCTTTCATAAGCATCCTATAAGATGTTCTTGAGGCTCCGTCACGAGTCTGTCGCTATACTCATTCTAGCCGTCTGAGATCCCACTTCATTTTCCGGAGCTCCTCAGTAAACCAAGGGGCCCGGTTTTGACGGGGTCGCAGAGGGCGCTTAGGCATGATCTCATCAATGGCTGCCAAGAGCCGGTTATTCCATGTTGGGATATGACTACTACGCAGATGCGAACAAGCAGTTTGATGTTTACATTACATGATGGCCCTAACCATGGGACAGGATGTTCCAGGGATTTCTCAGAGATTTGTTCTCAGTGTAATATGAGACTTTCCTGTTGCTTGTGTGAAGGAAGTTTGATGCAGTTGCTCGGAGGAGACTGAGCGGGCAGACATGTTTTATGTACAGTTGTACAGTCAGAAATAAACTAGAGATGAAATAGACTTTCTGGCTATCTTCTTTCTCCTGCTGCTATGAAAGAGGGAAGGGGGTGTGCACCTTTCATCAGGGAGGTGTCACCTATCAAGATCTCCCTGGACTGCCGGGATGCCAGCCAGGGAAGATCACTGGCAAACAGGCCCCTGGAGCCTGGGAGAGGGGCCAGCCTCTCCTGAGGGGGCTAGTTTTCCAACATTCCAGTCCTCAACAAGGTCATCTAATGAGTCGCCAGGAGGAGCAGGGCCTCGCAAGGCTAGTCGAGCTGATGTTGTCACATCAAGAAACACTCTTTTATTTTCATTTGGGATGCTCATTGTTAGAATGCCAAAATAGATAAATGTAGGATTTCTTTTAAAATTGTGTGTTTTGTTGTTGTTTAGTCATTTAGTCGTGTCCGACTCTTCGTGACCCCCTGGACCAGAGCACGCCAGGCACTCCTGTCTTCCACTGCCTCCCGCAGTTTGGTCAAACTCATGTTAGTCGCTTCGAGAACACTGTCCAACCATCTCATCCTCTGTGTGTTTTAGCATTTATTTATTTTTGGTTCCTGATAGGTCATGTCCTTTTTTTATTATTATTACTTTGGGGACATGTCCATCACATGTGGAATAAGGTTCCTTCATTTTGTTGCAAGTCCAAAACCTATTGCTGATATTTATTTATTCTGACTGATTTGGATGGGATCAGGTACCATATGTAAGTCATTTTCATGAAGTTCTCATTTATCAGATAGCACATGGTGAATTTTAAGCCTTTTCCCATTGTTTTCCCATTTTTCAGTCCAGTAGTAATCTGTGTAGTTTTGATAATATCTTTGTATTATTTAATAATAATTCTTTTTCTAAATCTGATGTCTTTGTGTCAAGTCCGTTTTCATCTGGAAAAAATTGTTTAACTGGTAATCTATTTTTTTAAAAAAAAATTGTTTTCTTTTTATATTTTCACCTTTCTTGTATTTCTACCCTTTTCTTCTTGTATATGTGGAGTAACCAAGTGAAGGAAAGTTTCAGGGAACTGCCATCGGAGCCTAGAGTGGAGGTAAGGCTCCCCAACGATGCAGGAGAAGGGACCAGCAGGGGGAGAGAGAACACTTCCTTTGAGGAAGGAAATAGGAGTGACACCAGGAAGCAAGGGGAAACTGCGGAGAGAGGGCTCCAAGACTCTTCCACAGAGACCAGCGGGGAGAGCACAGGACCTCCGTTGGGCATGCCCACTCTGCGCAGGAGACTTCCACGCAGGGAGGCGAGGAGGAGACTTGGCGTCAAAGAGTTTCTATGTTGGAAGAAGTTCAGGAAATGCCCACTGACGGATTCTGCCAGCGACTGACAAAGCCATGGAGAAAGGGCTATCCAGCCAGGGAAAGGTTTAGCCAGGCTACGTTGCCTAGAACAGTAGCACCTTTTACACACAAGCAACCCCCAACAACCATTGCAGCAATCCGTCAGTCTTTGACGTTGTTTGTGCGCAGCGACAGGACAGGGCAGCACCATGAGTCAAACCGGAGGAGCAGGCGCCGGAGAGG